TGCTGGGACGATCTACTTTAAGGTTATTACACTCCAAGAGGCTGCAAGTATGTGTGGTGCAGAATTTTTCTTCTAGAATATCCATCGGTGTAATTTTCTTCTCAAAATGGGGCGAGATGAATAGTTTGTTTAAAATTGACACGAAACTTTTCCCCATTTTGTGTCAACTTTAAACAAACTTTATCCTGCAGAATTGTTGTCTACGTATGGGTACTAGGTAGGGGCGTACGGTCGCGGAAATGGAAGTGTAGGTATAGGGACGTTGCAGAATTTCATGGCCATAAATATACCTACCACATAGAATTAGTTAGTAGACACGACAGAATTTAGTTTTCCTTAAAATCAATTTTTTAAAATCAAGGTAGGTGAGAATCGCAAATGTTTCTTGAGATCGACTCAAAAAGTACCTATTCGAATACTTTGAATACCTTCTAAGGTATTCGAATACTATAAATAGTATTCGAATACTTGTCACTCAAATACATTAAACATTTAAAATAGTATACTAGATAAAAGGCTTAATACTACTTAAAAAATCAAGTTATACTTTGTATGGGGTTAGCTTTTTTTATATTTCTATTGTTATATACAAATTTAAGGGGAGTAAAAGCGTATTGTTATTATTATATTATTATATAGGAGGTACCTACCAGGACCTTTCTTATACCAGTTATATCCTTAAGAATACGTGTACCAGCTTTCAAAGCGTCGGGCACATGATACGTACGCCTTTCTGAAATGAATCCTAGCGATGATAGTTTGTTTAGAAACCTGCAATCGCTTTGAAAATTGGTACACATGGTCTTAAGGATATAAGAAAGGTCCCTATTGTTTTTAAGTTACGTAGACTATCGAGTCAAAAAGTTTCACTCCAGGATCGTTCGGTATTCAGTTGTATCGGATTTTTATATTTGATTTTGTGACAATGGAAACTTTCCCTAAACATTTCTAAATTGTTCTCAAATATTTGAATAACTTAAAAGTACTGCCTTTTTTTGAGGCCGGAAAAAAAAATTGTCTGTGATCGACCCGGAAAAAACATTTTCTTATAGAATGTGGCCTGTAGAATCCATAATTTCAAACAGTTCCAAGATTGGGCTACTGGATCAAAAGTTACAGCCCTTTGAATTTTCATTCGAAATTGGTTTCTAGTCTATAACTTTTGATTGAGAAGTCTAATCGAAAAAGTACGAATTGTTTTGGATTCTACGCACCAAAATTAATAGGAAAAAGTGTTTTCCCGAGAAATTTTGGTGTAGTCGATTTTTGGTAAAAAAGGAAGGTTATACACTGCCTTTTTTGAGAGCCGAAAAAAAAATTGTCTCGGCGATCGACCCGGAAAAAAATTTTCTTATAGAATGTGGCCTGTAGAATCCATAATTTCAAACAGTTCTAAGATTGGGCTACTAGATCAAAAGTTACAGCCCTTTGAATTTTCTTTTGAAATTAATTCTAGTCCATAACTTTTGATTGAGAAGTCCAATTGAAAAAGTAGGTACGAATTATTTTGGTTTCTACGCACCAAAATTGATAAGCAAGTGTTTTGCCGAGAAATTTTGGTGTAGTCGATTTTTGGTAAAAAAGGAAGGTTATACACTGCCTTTTTTGAGAGCCGAAAAAAAAATTGTCTCAGATCGACCCGGAAAAAAATTTTCTTATAGAATGTGGCCTGTAGAATCCATAATTTCAAACAATTCCAAGATTGGGCTACTAGTTCAAAAGTTACAGCCCTTTGAATTTTTTTTCGAAATTGGTTTCTAGTCTATAACTTTTGATTGAGAAGTCTAATCGAAAAAGTACGAATTGATTTGGATTCTACGCACCCAAATTAATAAGAAAAAGTGTTTTGCCGAGAAATTTTGGTGTAGTCGATTTTTGGTAAAAAAGGAAGGTTATACACTGCCTTTTTTTGAGCCCCGAAAAAAAAATTGTCTCAGATCGACCCGGAAAAAATTTTCTTATAGAATGTGGCCTGTAGAATCCATAATTTCAAACAATTCCAAGATTGGGCTACTAGTTCAAAAGTTACAGCCCTTTGAATTTTTTTTCGAAATTGGTTTCTAGTCTATAACTTTTGATTGAGAAGTCTGATTGAAAAAGTACGAATTGTTTTGGATTCTACGCACCAAAATTAATAAGAAAAAGTGTTTTCCCGAGAAATTTTGGTGCGGTCGATTTTTGGAAAAAAAAGGAAGGTAATAACTGCCTTTTTTGAGGCCTGAAGAAAAAATTGTCCCGGATCGACCCGGAAAAAAATTTTTCTTATAAAATGTGGCCTGTAGAATCCATAATTTCAAACAGTTCCAAGATTGGGCTACTAGTTCAAAAGTTACAGCCCTTTGAATTTTCTTTCGAAATTGGTTTCTAGTCTATAACTTTTGATTGAGAAGTCTGATCGAAAAAGTACGAATTGTTTTGGATTCTACGCACCAAAATTAATAAGAAAAAGTGTTTTCCCGAGAAATTTTGGTGCAGTCGATTTTTGGTAAAAAAGGAAGGTTATACACTGCCTTTTTTTGAGCCCCGAAAAAAAAAAATTGTCTCAGATCGACCCGGAAAAAAATTTTCTTATAGAATGTGGCCTGTAGAATCCATAATTTCAAACAGTTCCAAGATTGGGCTACTAGTTCAAAAGTTACAGCCCTTTGAATTTTCTTTCGAAATTGGTTTCTAGTCTATAACTTTTGATTGAGAAGTCTGATCGAAAAAGTACGAATTGTTTTGGATTCTACGCACCAAAATTAATAAGAAAAAGTGTTTTCCCGAGAAATTTTGGTGCAGTCGATTTTTGGTAAAAAAGGAAGGTTATACACTGCCTTTTTTGAGGCCCGAAAAAAAATTGTCTCAGATCGACCCGGAAAAAAAATTTTCTTATAGAATGTGGCCTGTAGAATCCATAATTTCAAACAGTTCCAAGATTGGGCTACTAGTTCAAAAGTTACAGCCCTTTGAATTTTCTTTCGAAATTGGTTTCTAGTCTATAACTTTTGATTGAGAAGTCTGATCGAAGAAGTACGAATTGTTTTGGATTCTACGCACCAAAATTAATAAGAAAAAGTGTTTTCCCGAGAAATTTTGGTGCAGTCGATTTTTGGTAAAAAGGGAAGGTTATACACTGCCTTTTTTTGAGCCCCGAAAAAAAAAATTGTCTTAGAACGACCCGGAAAAAAAATTTTCTTATAGAATGTGGCCTGTAGAATCCATAATTTCAAACAGTTCCAAGATTGGGCTACTAGTTCAAAAGTTACAGCCCTTTGAATTTTTTTCGAAATTGGTCTCTAGTCTATAACTTTTGATTGAGAAGTCTGATCGAAAAAGTACGAATTGTTTTGGATTCTACGCACTAAAATTAATAAGAAAAAGTGTTTTCCCGAGAAATTTTGGTGTAGTCGATTTTTGGTAAAAAAGGAAGGTTATACACTGCCTTTTTTTGAGGCCCGAAAAAAATTGTCTCAGATCGACCCGGAAAAAAAATTTTCTTATAGAATGTGACCTGTAGAATCCATAATTTCAAACAGTTCTAAGATTGGGCTACTAGATCAAAAGTTACAGCCCTTTGAATTTTCTTTAGAAATTAATTCTAGTGCATAACTTGATTGAGAAGTCCAATTCAAAAAGTACGAATTATTTTGGTTTCTACGCACCAAAATTAATAAGCAAAAGTGTTTTGCCGAGTAATTTTGGTGTAGTCGATTTTTGGTAAAAAAGGAAGGTTATACACTGCCTTTTTTTGATGCCCGAAAAAAAAATTGTCTCAGATTGACCCGGAAAAAAATTTTCTTATAGAATGTGGCCTGTAGAATCCATAATTTCAAACAGTTCCAAGGTTGGGCTACTAGATCAAAAGTTACAGCCCTTTGAATTTTCTTTCAAAATTGGTCTAGTCCATAACTTTTGATTGAGAAGTCTAATCGAAAAAGTAGGAATTGTTTTGGATTCTACGCACCAAAATTAATAAGAAAAAGTGTGTTCCAGAGAAATTTTAGTGTAGTCAATTTTTGGTAAAAAAGGAAGGTTATAGGCCTTTTTTTGAGGCCCGAAAAAAAATTTTCTTATAGAATGTGGCCTGTGGAATCCATAATTTCAAACAGTTCCAAGATTGGGCTACTAGATCAAAAATTACAGCCCTTTGAATTTTCTTTCGAAATTGGTTTCTAGTCCATAACTTTTCATAACTATTCAAATACCTTGCGAAGTATTCGAATACTTTACGAAGTATCCAAATACTTTGCGAAGTATTCAAATACTAAATATTTGTGAAAGTATTTGAGTTACAAATACAAATACTGCTTCCATAAAAGTATTTAATTACAAAGTATTTGAATACTTTAAAGGATTTGAATACTAAAAAGTATTTACAAAATCGAATACTGCCCAGCTCTGGTCCTACCTAGCAAACGCGTTTTTGAGGCGGGTCAAAATATTTGATATTTCCGCGTCTGTCGCTTCAGTCTTAACAACATGCGCTTTTGCATCACTTTTATGTTCGGTGCTTGCACGTAGGACGCTCTGGTCGCGTTTGACGTCTACGGCGCGACGACCGCGTGTTGCCGCTCACGTAGGACAAGGCGTAGGCTGCTCCTTTGTAGTTTTACCTTTGTAGTTTTACTTTTGTTGGTATGTCATCCAAACTAACTACCTATTGCTGTTCATGTTGGTGTACATACACTTTCCATCAATATGCTATAATACCTGCAACACAAAAGTTGCGCGAAAAGATGTTCCAAACAAATTTGTACAATAGATGCAAAGTTACAATGACAATATTACAAAATTTTTTCAAACGTTTATTAATGAAAATATAGTGTTATAAACTGCAATGTAAAATACGTTTCTTGGACAAGAACTAGAATGTCTTTTTTGCAAACTTTCACAATTTATACACTTGTGCAGCTTTAATTTTACAATTCACAACTCGAGTGGAATGTAGTCAATGCTTAAATACATGGTAATGGTGGTACTAAAACAAAGCAATGATATTAACAATGAAAACGTAAATCAACAATCTAAGGATATATTAAATAAAAAGTTTAATTTAAAATGAACACAATCTCCTTCTTTGGCAAAATTAAACGTAAACAAATTGATATAATACAGTGTAAGTACATAATACTTGAAATTTAGATAAAATATTTGTCAAACTTTTTAAACTTTTAGGAACAAAGCTGACAACATGCATTAGATTTAGAATGCCAGGAACAGAATATGTTGTCAATTATCCGATACGTCTGTACCATCTCGTAGAGATCCGCTTTCATCAAATAGCAGCGTACATAAAATCGCCTGCAACCTATTCCTGGCCGGTTCAAAACTTGCATCGAGCATTAATGATGATCTGTAAAATGCGATGGCCTTCTCCAAGTCCCCCTAGAATTAACCAAACTGTAATTAATCATCGTCTGATTGCGATTACCCACCAAAGAGGTATGAATATTTCCTATTGTGAAATGATTAACGACGAAATTGGGATGGCTTTCCAGAGCAATGTAAGCCACTTCAAGAGCATCGCTATGGTATCCCACCCTAAAAATCTTTAATTACGCGACACAATCGTATTAAAACAATCAAATAAACCTATGCAGGATGTTTGCAAGATTGATCAATGGAATGTCTTTCATATGAGTCGGAACGTACGTAATCGCCTGCCTTAAACAAGCCACCGCCTCTTCGGTATTACCGACGATTCTCCAATACAAAGCTGCCGCATTTGCCAAAATCCAGGAGGTGGCATTCTATAAACGAAACGAATTAAGCGGATACTACGACCGAAACGTCCAACCTCTTGTAGCGCTATTTCAATTTTTGTTCCCAAATCTCGAACGGTCGATTCCTGATCGCCCGCCATCAGCCCGAGCCATTCGGATAAAGCGCTTTCAGGGGAATTGGGCAATTTTTTCGAAAGCAGTGTCATTATTAAATGATCCAATGTTGACGGGAGTAAGGAATCGGATTCTAGGCAGCGCGGTTTTAAATCTTCCTGGATTGAATCGGGAATGGCTTTTAAATACGGTCCAATGCTGAAAGAAATGTGTATTAGGACGTTTGCGCCTATGAAACTAAATACTATACAGTAAACATCAAGGCCTTTGGGTTTTATTTGTCCGGTACGGCACTTTTATCAATAAAAAAACACAGCTCTTTTTTTGTCCAAATTAAATTGCAAACTGAATATGCAGTCCCAAACTTTATGAAATATTAAACCCTACAGAATTTTTGTGTGGTTCCGTTGCGATTTGGGAACCTACAAAGGCATAGAGCGGGCATACTGTTGTGTGTAAACTACATGGGGGTGTCATTTCTTTAGGTTGAAACAGTGCCATAAAATACGTGTCGTTAACAGTCTGAATACCGGAAATAGGGGTGAGGAGATCCTGATATAACATAATTCGAGTTATTTCATAAGATCTGGAGAATTTTTTTTATACACACAGGATTGGAAAAATTTGCTGAATTGTCATTTGAGTGTTATTTTTTAATGTAAATTTAGTCGTTGATTGTTTAATTCATTTAATTCTATTTGTAGCTATATAATATAACTAATGTAACATGTATTTAATAAAAAAAAGGTTTATTTGTTGTATTTAGTTTGTATGATAAATTTAAAAACGGGTAACTAAGGTAATGAGCAATTAGTGTGTTAGCTGGTCGGGTGTTGATAAAAAATTGTTATCAAACATGAATTAATTGGTTTTTCGCCAAACAATATCACGTGCGGGATAAGCGATGCAGGTGTTTTATTAGTTCGAGACGTAAAGGAATTTCGAGTACCGTCGGGTGAATAACCATGTTGAATTTTTTTAAATAGGAATAATCAAGAGCCTGCTATGCAATTTAAAAAAAAGTAATGGTTTTCATGTTAGTAAAATAATGCGGAGACAAATTTAATGTTGTGCAAGAAGTTGGAACTCATGGAATTTCGAGTTTAAATAGTTTGCGTTATCAACAATGAAGAAATAATTGGTGTAATACAAGAGAAGTCTCACCATCCGAACATCCAGAAAGTTGTGTTATTGTCTTCGAGCCAGTTGTGGTGTATTAAAAGTGCGTTTTTTTATTTCTGAGAAGAATCTATGAGATTCATGTTAAAGTTTGTGTTTCATTGAACAATACATATTTATTGTCCTGACCAGTTTATTGGAATATATATGTGATCTCTTAATTTGTTTTTAGACCGTTTGCAAAAAGGGTGTGTTCTATTCATTCTTTATTATTATTATTATTCAGCCTTAAATTTTTTTCATACAGCATTTTCTTGTATTTCGTTTTTTTTATGATGTGTGTTAGAATAAATTCTTCTAATTTTTTTAATTAATTAATTATGTTCCATCTAAATATCCCATGAATTTTTCATCCGCCCATAGTAACGCCAGACATTCTACTTCTGTGACCGTGTATTTTGTTTCATTTTTTTCAATGATATACTCGCATATTCTCTTTTTCCCCATCCAGTAAATCTTGTAAAAGTGCCACCCCTGTAATGTAAAGTCACGAGTCATGACTCTATTTTTATTTACCGAAACGCGTTATCAGCCTCTTCATTCCCCACAAATTTCCGATATGTTTTTGTTATTAGTTATTGATGACATTTGACTTGAAAATTTTCTTATAAATCGCCTGCACTTTATCTGGATCTACCCTATCGTCAACCAAATATCTCAAATATTTCAGTTCGGACCTAACTAATTTGCATTTTTCGGTGTTCACCACAAGACCCGCTTCAGACAATCTGATAAGTACTTTTCCAATACCGTTAAATGAGACTCGAAATCACGCGTAGCTATTATAATGTGGCCTAAGTAAACGAACACATTTGACCCTAAATCTGCCGTATCATATCTGTCAACCGTTGCCATGTGGCGGGAGAATTGTGTAACCCGAAAGGCATTCTTGTAAAACGGTAGAGACCTCTACCATACACTGAAAATGCTATTTTTTCATTACTGGTCTCCTCCAAAGGGCTGTTAAGGATTAAAGAAGACAACACTTTTTCGACGCGTAGTCTATCTAATACACTCGAAACGTATGGTAATGGGTAGGCATCTTTTTTGCTATTCATAACTTCTTGCATGTATAGTGACAGTGGATAATATCTTGTAGAAAACCACTTTCGCGCGTCCTAATTTTGATTGCATGTCCGCAAATTAATGATTTACAATCCTATCCTGGGCATAAAAATCCTCTTTATTTTTTGAAAATATTGCAACTACGCCTATTTCTTTGCAAAAATCTACCCCGAAAATTAAATTTGTGCAAAGATCTTCAATATTAATGTTTCCATTAAGCACCTTATTCTTAAGATTGAAAGGTAGGTATATCTACTGTGTCCATTACTTCGCATTCCTTCCCATTCGCTACCGTTATTACCATATTCGAAATTTTTAATTCAAACCTGTATCTTGTACTCCTCTACAATGTACACTTAAAATGCCAACTTGTAAATACAGTCATTCTCTCTTACGTGAATGAAATCGTAATCTAAGCTACTTTTTTTTTATTTATTTCTTTCTAACCACGTTATCGATGATCTATTCCCAGGATTTTTGCCCAACGTCCTGCTCTGTCGTTTCCCCAACATTTTCCACAGTAATATTTTGTTACATTTCTTCCCCGCAACGGTAACAAAATTTCCACCATGGTTCCGTACATCTATTAAAATTATGGCCTTCTTTAGGCAATTCCAACACTTTTGAATGTTTATCATCTCAAACACTGGTTATTTGGAAGACGTGAAGTTCCCAATTTCCTCCGACAATTCTGTTTCATAATCGAACAGTAGGTAAGGATTCGCTGTGCGGTCTCTGGACAAATTCCCAATTTGTTACTTTTCTCCTAATTGACGTAAAGCGCGTGAGTGCCGGTTCCTTTCGTAAAAGCAGCCACCGAATTAAGTAAGCAATTTAGCGCTTACATAATTACGTTTCCAAAAGAACAAGCTGAACTGTGGTGCTAAAGGTCCCTGGTTCGAATCTGGGTTCGGGCATGGATATTTGTAAACGTATAGTGGGTTGGGTTGGTAGAAAACCTTGGCTGAAACCCCGCCCACTCAAAAATAAAGGAAAAAAAAAATTATATACCTACCCTTAACCCTCTATCATTTCAATTTACAACTCAAAGTTCGTGTTAATTTTGAGTTATGACGGCGAGTTAGCCTTAATTTTGAACTGCAACTGGAAATTAAGACAAATTTTAAGTTAAGGCTAAGTTCGGCTAAGAAAGGGTAACTGAGTCCGTCGAATGCAATAAAGAAGGAATTTTGATCACCTCTTGCTGAATAAGAATTATACGAAGCGGGCAATACCACGTCTTCAGACTCAGAGGGGACGATGTTTCACTTACAGAGGCACCACTTCATTCCGTAACAGTTAGGGTTTCGCATTTCTCACATTTTTTTATTCGGGGTGGCCGCCCCGGGAAGCAGGGGGGGGGCGAAGCACGCGCAAGGACGAGCTTGAAAATTTCTAGCCAGCAAAGGGGTGTTTTGAAACAACTTAACGTTGCGCACGATTAAGCCTGTCCGTGACGCGTACTAATCGCGCAGTATGGAAGATACGCGGCGCCAAGTGAATTAGGAAAGGGAGTATGTCTTATCAAAATAAAAAAAATCTTATCAAAAATCAATATTGATAACGTTTCTATAGTACTACCTTAACACACTAAACCCAAAATTAAAAAGTTGTGTACGTTCGAACCTTATAAAATATAACGTGTTTTTTTTTAACCATCAACAAACGTAGACAAAGTACTAATTTCACATTTAACTCATTACACCGTTTTGTACCTACAGTACAAAGTACATGGTATTTCCACCTTGTGATATTTGTATTTTTTTATGTACCTATATTTTTTTCCCCTTTTCTGTTTTTTTTTGGTGGTAATAGACATTATTATTATTATTATTATTAAAAAAGAACGAGATGCAATTAAAACAAAGGCGTCATACACAATCTATAGCAGGCAACAACACAAGGTAACTCACGCTATCCAAAGCCGAGGATATATTACAAGTAAAATACCACATTTTCGGTAATACATAGCATATTACGACCTAACGATGAGATTTGTTAAAAACGAGCGCTTCCAAATATTGGTCCTTTGAGCTGAATCAAATTTCTTTTCGCTTTTTCCGTCTTTTCGAATATTGTAACAACGTCCAATTCAACGCACATTTTCACAACGGTCAAACAAATTAGTAGGAAATTACCCAGATAAAGCAACAGCTTGTAATGCAAAAACTCCAATGATAGGATCGCTAATTATAAAATTGTACAAATACTTAATATGTGCCCACTTTATGCTTTTGCAAAAGTGAACTGTACTTTCACTGCTAAAGCATCAACTCAAATTCAAAAAATAGGAGAACGCATATTAACTAATTAATGTTAAATACTACCCACTGTAGCTATTGTGCCGGTTCTGTTTTAATGCTTATTTATTTATGAATAATACTCACTCCACATTTCGAGCGGCGATTGATTGCCACATAGAGGTAAACTGTAACCAATCAGCGTCACGTATATTTTGACATCCCCGCGGAGATAAAGGGTAGGTTCCAGACTTATCATAGACATGCAGCATTGCTTCTGGTACTGGATCGTCGGTTAAAGAAACTGAAACTATAGAAATACCTCTTGAGGCAGTTTTGATACTTTCTAACATTTTGAGTCGAGATATCCACCTAATAAATTTATTTGGGAGGTGAATATCTCGGCCCTTAGTCTAACAAAAATTAGACTTACCATAAAAATCTCCTAAAGTGTTTGCACCTGTTGCAGTATGCTCATCACCAAGAGAAATCCGCATGTGAAAAGCCTGCTGAGGATTGTCGATTAAGCTCTCCAGTTGAGACTGATCAGGCTCAATTCCACCGGACCCTTCAGCAGCTAATAGAGTGGAAATCAACGACTGTCCCAATCCAACTTTCTGCTTAGTGCACTGTTGTGTTGTCAACAACTTTGGTTTCAAATCTAAAGTAATTGTACCTAAAAAGTCGTATCAGACCGCTGCCGCTTTGCGTATATGCGTTACCACTGTCTTCGTGCAAACTATCGGAACGAAAACACTGAATAGCTGCCGTCTTGCACTGCTCTCCGTTTGCGGAACATATAACGCCCTCGCCGCTGAAGGCGTCTTTCTCCGAACACATTCCTTCCAAATTCTTCTCAGTTTTGCTCTTCACGTCCTCGAAACTTCCCATTTTCAAACGGCATGACCAAACTCTCAACAACTCGTCCGCTTTGCCCCCGTAATAATCGGGATCAACTCTTAAGACATTTTTCATGTAATACATGGCCAGTATTGGGTTGCTTTGTGTATAATGCAGCAAGGCCAATAAGAAATTTGTGCTCGGTTCGATGTAGTTCACCTTAAACGCTAAATTCGCAAATTTTATGGCATCATCTGTCAGTCCAAGTTGATGATATATCGATCCTATTGAAACAAGTACCACATCAGTGTACTCCTTCGGTACATTTTGGAATGCAAGATCGAGACAATTCAGAGAGTTCTTTGTGTTCGATCTCAACCGCCAATAGAAACTTGCTAATGTCGCCAATACCCATTCGGGACCGGTCCTCTAAGCAACAAAATCAGTCAGAACTTCTATACAGACTATGTTTGCAGAGCCCAGTACATCAAATGCAGTAGAGTTACGAATATTTAGTGTTTATACAACAAGGCAATTCACAATTTATAAACACACTGTCTAAAAGTAGAATATGAATATCCTCTGGACAAAAAAACATTGACCAGGACCAAGCCACACCTAATCGACCCTTACCTCTCTGTTGAACAAGTTTCCCAACTGTTTGAGAAGAATCCGGAGGAAACAATTGAAAGTGGCCCAATAGTTGGCACAGGAGCAAACACCTAAACGCAAAGCATCCCGAGACCATGAAGCTCATGCTAGATTCTAAACGTCCAACCATTGAATTAGACAAAAAGGCCTAAAGAGAAACGTCATGTCAGTCCTAATAAGTGCATATGATGCAATAGTAACGATAACTGTTGAAACCGCCTATTAGTATCAAACCAGGTCACCAGTACTATTTTTACCCTTCATGATTAACACTGACAAAAATTCACTAATGCGTCCTCTAACTAATTAAGTGAATATAGGATCACAGTAATTGAGAACAAAAGTTTCTCAACAATCTTCGCAAAAACGGACACAGCTATCTCAGGTCATACGACTGGGACTCGAGTACCAGAAGTATGGCCAAGATGACAAAGAGAACTGATGAGACCTGTAATTCTCTCGTGCTTTTGTTCTGAGATGGAAAGGGCTTAGTGGAGGACATGACAAGATGCCTATGGAAATGGATGCTAAGGGCAACCAAAAGATGTTTGAAGTGCCCCAATACAGCCTAACTGGACCAGATCAAATCTTATTGGAAGCGGCAACCTACCCTCCAGAACGCAGATCATCTATGACGCAATCGAGGGGCCCCATGACACTCTGTATCCTACGTACTTCACAGTAATACAGAGACACATGGAATAACGCAGCTAAGAGAGCATTGAAGGCGAATTCAAAAAATACCGCGTCCTATTTGGATTGAGACTGCAGTGTATTGGTTTTCACGACGGTGTGCCACTTTCTTGTGACACTTACCACAAACAAAATCAATCTAGCTACGTTTGTTTCCGAGATACAGAGTGAAAATGAATAAGTTTGCCTTTTTGGAATGTTATTATATCTTACTATACCCATATAAGATACAAAAAAGGTAAAAACTGCCTCTTTTGGATATTGTAGCGAACATTCCAGAAACCTCGATAGACATCGAGGCGTCATGAAAGATTAGTCATCGGAGAAACGAAGGCGGATGTGACGTAATCTTTCCGGGAAATATGATGTGTTTGTTCAAGAACTATATAAGCAAATCGAATTGCGTTTGATGAAGTTCTAATTTCAACGACGAGGTAATAAATAGTTCGCGCTGTTATAAATTGTGTATTTGTGAGTGTAAAATAATATTTGTACTGTCATAAATTAATCAATTTCAAGACTGTTATAAATTTATTGTTAATTAATTAATCAAAGATTATATATTTATGGGACTTGCCTTCGAGACCCATGGTGCAAGGAATCGTGAGATTTTCTCAATAGAATAGGCAGAAGCTTAATTGCGGAATCCGGCGACAAACGCGCTAACAATTTTTATTCCAAAGGATATCCTCGGCTATCCAATGTGGAAATAGCGCATGTATCCTGGGCACTCTCCCAACTGAAAAACAGTTCGACGAAAATTATTTGTTATAGTTAATTATTGTTTTCTTTGTTACACAATTTTAAAGATTTCGTTTAAATAAATATTTTTTTTTTAAATTAACCATGAACCAAAAATAAAAACCCTTATTTTTTATGGTTTTTAAATAGGGCCATGGATTCATGGAGATTTTGTTTTATCTACTGTATCCATGGTAACGGTATTAGATAATAAAAATGTATAGGTTGTGATACATCATGTAATTAGGAAAACGAATGCAAAATTTGACATTAAGATATACAGGATTATTAAGGATTAAGAAATACCAACATTGGGCCAAATCTCAGAAAAAGTGAACCAAAATTTTTTTTTACTACGCCACTGGACTCTAAGTAACAATATCTAAAATAGGCACTTTTTACCTTTCTTCTATCTTACATAGGTCAAACTTTTCGTTTTCACCTGGTATCTCAGAAACATACATAGCTAGATTGATTCTGTTTGTGATATTAAAAGTGTCACAAAAAGTGGCAAAGGGCCGCGAAAACCGCACGTATGCATCTTTAAAAACAGCTGAGATACACTGCAGTTTAAAACCAATAGGATACAAGGTACATACTGAGATTACCCTTGCTATAAGGGTAGTGGCAGTCTACACGTGAAGCAAAACAAACAAACCTCCTTTTCTGCATGTTGAAGAAGGCTTGGTCTCACGCAAAAGTTAACAAGTTAGAACATGACTTCTTCGAGTACCACAACACCGTTGGGAAAGTAGATTCATCAGAGCAATCCAATACGCGTTGAACCTTACAAGAGGATTGGTGTTCCATATTATCTCATCTTATCTTACAAGATGACTTTTTCAAGCACATTGTTCAAAGAACTTACTTGCATGAATCGTAATGAGTTAGATTCAGGTACAACCACTTCGTTTGAGAGATCGCTGCACTATAAAGAGTCCGCACTGGGAGTATTCATAGATATAGAAGGGGCTTTCGACAAAACAACCTTCGATTCAATAGAAATGGCTCTATGTCACCACGGCGTACCGAACGTCATACGAGGCTGGATTGCGCAGCTGCTGAATCTCAGAGCAGTGCACATCAGCGTTGGCGACGAAACACTAAGGTGCACAGTAGTGAGAGGATGCCCCGAAGGTGGGGTGTTATCACCACTTCTGTGGAACTTGACTGTAAACAGGCTCCTCTGTCGCCTTAATGACAGTGGGTACTATACGCTGGGGTATGCGGATGATATATCCATACTTGTAACCGGCAAATTTGAGGCTACTTTATGCAGACTGATGCAATCAGCTCTTACAGTAACCGAAGAATGGTGTAGGGAACACTCCTTGTCCATCAACCCGACAAAAACGGAGCTAGTTCTCTTCACAAGAAAAAGAAAGGTAGAGGGTATTCGAGCTCCCCTGCTATTCCAAAAACACCTCCAATTTTCACAGTCAGTGAAATATCTAGGAATCACACTCGACAAAAAACTGAATTGGAGCAAACATATCCAGCTTAAAGCCGAAAAAGCAAATAGGGCTTTCTGGCAAAGTCGCCGCGCTATTGGCAAACTTTGGGGACCATCCCCGAAGGCTGTCCTGTGGCTGTACACTGCCGTGATTAGACCTATGTTCTGTTATGGAGCAATTGTCTGGTGGCCTAGAACCAGACTCTCCACAACTGTAGCACTCCTTAATCATGTGCAAAGACTAGCGTGCCTTGCCTGCACAGGCGCGATGCGAACGACCCCCACAGCCGTCATGGAGGCCCTCTTGGATCTGCCTCCACTAGATCTCCACGTGAGAGAGCAGGCCATTCTGGCATTCCTGCGTCTGAAAAATAAGGGGTTGTTGAATAGCAGAGGCATTGAGGGGGGCCACTCCCGAATTCTGGGCGAGGCGATCAAGCGTCTGCCTATCCTAGAGGGGAGATCGGACTCACTCACTCCTCAATTCATATTAGGGAAAAACTATCACATCTTCTTTGATGAGAATATGGCATCCCAACCAGATATATTCATCTTCACGGATGGATCTAAGACAATGGAAGGTACAGGCACTGGTATTTACTCCAAAGAACTGAACTTCCATATCACCCAACCACTAGGTAAACTTCCTACTGTATTCCAGTCAGAGTTGGTAGGATTAACGCTTAGTGCAAGAACAGTTCTTATGCATAACATAAAGAACAAAACTATCAGAATCTCAAGTGACAGCAGGGCTGCCTTGCAGTCACTTGGTCACTGTAAAATTACCTCTAGGATGGTTTCCGAATGTCACCACGTACTAGAGCAAGTAGCAAGCAGCAACACCCTTGAGCTCGTATGGGTCAAAGGGCATGCTGGAACGGAAGGTAATGAGAAAGCCGATAAATTAGCCCGACTGGCCTCAAAACAGGCGTTTTATGGTCCAGAGCCGGCTCTTCCACTTACAGTTAAAACTGTAAACAACCTAATAACTCAAGACACCCAAACCCAGCACAGGGCTAGGTGGAACTTGATGTTAGATTGTCGCCATGCGAGAGAAGCCTTCAGAGGACCATCTCGTAGCTTGGCGCGTTTTTGTACAGGGCTATCAAGGAAGAACCTGAGGTTACTCGTGGGCATACTTTCTGGGCACTGTAAACTAAACAAGCACATGCACTGCATGGGTTTGGTGGAATCACCATCTTGTAGAGGATGTTACACAGACGACGAGACGGCATACCACATACTCTGTGAATGTCCCGCTCTAGTCCAACTGAGACGATCCATGTTGGGGGAATCCTGGCCGGACATGGCTACGATTAGAGCCGCCTCCCCTTCCAGCGTCCTAAGGTTCATCTCACGTGTGGGATGGCTTGAGTGATGCTGAGGGGTCGGGCGACCCTAGTCAGGGAGGTAGTACAAAGGGCCCGAATTTGAGGCCTAAGTACGCGTGGACACTGTTCACCCTCCTATCGTAATCCAGAATCCAGAATCCAGAACCACTTCGTTTTTGATCGACGGAGCTACCTACAAAGACGATGGGTCTGTCCAAAACACAAGGTTAGAGGAAACGGACCTGGGCTGATAACCTATTGAAACTAGCTTAACATATGTTAATATTATTGTTGTGTAAACTATGTCATGCGGACGTTTCCTTTGACATGTGCTATGTGCACCTAAAATAATGATGGGTGACATTGTATGAATTTCAATTTTCTTTAAGTTTAAATGTGGTTATTATTTGGGATTGAACACAATTCGATCATGTTATTTAATTTCGAGGTCAATGTATTTTGTTTCAGATTTATTTATTTATTGTCCCTCTTGTTTTCGACCCTCAACAGGCTTACGCCCAATTACAGAGTGACCCACATAATGGTTTTTAGAGGTGCCCCTGCAGAAGGTCTTAAGTTGTTCTATACTACTCCGGTATTCACCTTACGAATTAGGAAAACTGCAGGAAAACCTAATTCGGAGTAGCCGGCAGAATGCTCGTAACTGATCTAAGGAAAATTTACTAGGTATTGATTTTGTTTAAATAATCACTTTGTTTATTTTTATTTGTAATTGTAAAGTTGAATTACGTTCAAGTTTATTCGTTTGGAAATAATTGCGTTGCTATTGTAAAAGTTTATCACCGGTCAGTGCAATAAGAGTTCGTTATCGCTGCAGAACGCAGATAAGCAGATGTTTTTCGCTGTAATACAAGTGTGAGTTTATCTTTTGATAAAGAAGTAGAGGCAGAAGGTGTAGAAGGGAAGAGTTGTTAAACAGAAGAGGCAGACGAGGCTTTTTGGTTTGGTGGGCATTTCGAATGAAGACAGTCAGTCTTGTTTAATTGAAAAGTTAGAATAGACGAAAGTTAGTTGTGTACTCGAGGAGATTTTATTTCGTCGCCATGATAAATGTGAATAGTCCGTTTCGAGTTAAGTTCAGTGGTGCATCACACATTCAAAGAAGTGTGTGTTTTGTGTTGTGCAAGCAGTTATCACTTATGTCTTCAATGTACCCGTTAAAGTAAAGTCCCACACCAAAAAAGCCTCATCAAAGCCAATTTGTGTAAATCAAGAAAGAGGTGAAAGTAAAGTTTCAAAAGCATTTTTTCAATTGGTGTTTTTTTGTGCGTCACTTAAAGTGAATCGCAGTTAACAGGGTATTAAGAATTATTATTAACCTTAAAGTAATTAGATTTTTCGTTTAAATTTAACCAAACGCATGTGCGTGGTATTCGTCATCTGACTCTGAGGGCCTATTTTTATTTCAGCTTTATTGATTGTATGGAATACATTTGTTTTGTCTGTAAATTGCTAAAAAATTTATTTCACTTGGTCAACAGATGAGCGGAGGTTGACCTTATGTGAGATCTTGGTACTATTAATGAAAAATGATTGTAACTAGGATAAATGAATAAATAAAAGTATTGCTCGATGTCTTTGATGTCCAAATACCGGTCCAGGTTGAGTTATTTTATCCTCCAAATTCAGGTACAGATTTTACCCATACCTTGCTACTAGGTCAGCCTAATATCTAACGTAACTCCGACAGTGAAATGTGATGGATCTACATTAAAGCATAAGCTACTTATGAGGAAACCCAGGTCAGTTTTGTTAAACCAAAATGATCTACACGTAAATTCAAATGTAACCCAAACCTCTGTTTTTTATTTTTCCCCCTTATGTCCACCCAGACTCGGCCCTACCTAGAAAATGCAGTACTCGAGCGGATGAGGAATTTCAAACTGCTGAAAATCTAATTGCATAAGATGACTAGCATCAAGGAAATCCATGCTACGGCCAACCCCTAACAAGAATTACAACTTCCTCCAATGGAGAAGCGGAGGCATGTTGTCTGTCAGTCAGAGAAAATGTCTCAACAAACTTGCACGTGTTACCGTTTCAAATAGATCATTTTACACACAATAAAGACAGGCTATTAGCTCAGTGTGCTTATATATTTCAATTATAATTCTAACCGCCATTTCATTAATTTTCAACTAAAGAATAGAGGGTAGTGATTCACACCAATACGTACCTTCTGCATGGCCGTAATTATTCTTTGTCCTATTTCCGATTCCTCAGCTTTGCCATCACTAATGTAACTTAAAAAATGTTGCTGAAGAAGAGGATGGCTTTTCAAATTAGAACTCGCAACTTGTCGCAAGAAGGATGGAAGATACAGCTTCTCCACGTCCTTATCGGGATGCTCGCAGATTGGCGGATACCAAGGTAATTTGTGTTCCGTACCTGTCGGTAACCCTATATAGCTTGTTAGCATTTTTGTTACTCTAAAAGTTTCGCAATTCGTGACACTTCAAGATTATGGGCACTTACTGAAATCCTTTGTTTTCGGGCGGCAGAAACACGGGAATATCCAAGTCGTCGCTTTCACCTAGCGGTAAGTTCCAATTCATACATTCGTCTCTGCTAGGCCATCCGGTTTCGTCAAAGTATAAATCTGAAGAGGTAAAATGAGTGGTCGGATATGTAGGATGTAAAAGTGGAGGCGTTCCCAAGTTGTTTTGAACATTTGGTGCACCTTTTTGAGATTCGTCCTTAACTGGATTTAAAAACGGTCGCCTTTTATTACGGGCCATTTGTTCGTTAATTTTCTGCGTCTCACTTTCGACATTGCGTAATAGTCTCTGCAAATTTAAAGTGACGTCGACTTGTAAATTTGTAACCGCTTGATGGTCGGTAAAGTCGCATGTGATGGTTGGTTTTGAATTCTCCGATGTGCGTTGTATGCAACGCTGCCCTCTATTAGCCAATATGGCACTTAATTTTTCTGAGCTGTAACCGATCAATTGCGCTTCAAATGGAGCTTGCTCCCACATTAGCCGTTCCTGCAACCTTAACCATTGCTGCTGTTGGCTATGATAATTGTGCAAATCCGATAGAATTCCTTGCAACGATCTAAAAAATGTCTTTCATTTGCTAAACTTACCCTTGGAGTAAAAAGTGTGTAGACCCCACTTTGACAATAAAAAAATTACCATTCGTCACATTTCCATGGGTTTGTAACAAATGAAAGAGTTACCGAGCACAAACAATACAAAATTGTGGAAATAACATTAGGAAAGGCGACACTTTACTAAAATAGTAAAATTTGATGCAGGTGAGGGTATAGTTAACTGTGTTACCTACTGTTCATATTTAGAAATATGTTTTTTACATCTACATATCTTACACAAGCAGTCCAACGGTAATCTAGTGAGTCTCAAACTGGTGTCTACTTACTTTTTTAGTCAAAACAAAATTCGTCAACTTACTCATGCAGCTGCAGTAAGCCACTATCTAATCTTTTATGGCACAGGGTGGCATACTTTGTGGTGGCAACATCTTCGAGATCAGGTTGTAACTTCAGAACGTTGTCATAACAAGCTACTGATCGATTATAATCCGACAAAACTGCGTACACATTACCTAAGGCAATGTAGTTAGTAGCTTGAAACGGCGCATGCTCGACGGCTGCGTGCAATAAAATTGCAGCATCCTTTGGATACCGAGCTTGATGAAAGATCCCTGCTAGGTTCAGTAATGGAATGTCCTTGTATTCCCTGAGAACAAGGGAAAATGTGCTGAATTATATTATTTAAAACCACAGATATTAAAAATTTAAATCGTCATTTATTAAAGACGACACATCAAAAATTCCGATTATTTAATTTGTGGTCAGTGCAATTATACAATGAATAGTCAGGCCGTTTTAAAGCATAATCGACGTAAAGTTACCACCTATACACCCTATTTGTAAATTACACCAGCGCCTCTAGTGTTCATCTGAATTGCGAATAGCCTCCAGTCACTACTAAAATGTGTGGTAACATATGTGAGAGAGATAGCCAACATTAGAATACCGATCATGCGCACTGAGTTGACATTTCCGGCATTTCACTGCCGTGTGGCGTGTTATTTCCTTAGAACACGGTGCTGTAGTTCACACCTTACTGGTCTTGTGTATTAACAAATGTGTTTTAAAATTGGATGTGTACTTGGTGATAAAATCACACCGGTCACACTTTAAATCTTTGGTAATCTTGTATGTAAATACATTTGTTTTATTATTAGATTTATCATTCGTTGCATAATCACACAGGACACATTTTAAATTCTTGGTAACCTCATGTGTTAAAATGCTATTGGGCATGTGCAGTCGTCTATTTCTCTGTCTGCGTTAGGTCTGTTGACACAGATGCTCCTTATTGAAAGTAAATAGAAGGCTATATCTATGTACCTATTATGATCTAAAAATTTGGAAAGATAATGACAGTAGGTAATAGCGTTGATAAAAGCTGTTTTCGGTAATAGAATAATTACTATGAAATTACGCACAAACAACTGAGAAAACTTAATTTGAAGGCGACCAACAGAAACGAGATAGAGAGAGCTTGCTTCTTAGTTTTCCCTTCTCTCTCGCCTGCAGTATCTGCGCTTAGCATTGACACGCGCAGTCCATCTCTAAACGTGGATGGTTCCAATTTAAAAAAAATTGCAATAGTTTAGCCATAGCCATGGAAAAACGTCACAAATTAACAGTTTTTTTGTGCCTTTGACGCACTGACGCATGCGCGATAAGCTTGAAAAATTAGAAAACCCAACTAACATCAACAACAAACTAACACTAATAATAATATTGTCTCTAATTATCCCCAAAAAAAGAAACATTTTACACACTTCTACACGGCCAATTATTCTAGGCGCGAATTTTCCGGGAGCGAATTTTCGGGAGAGCGAATTGCCCGCTTCACTCTTTCAATGATCAAAAAGAGTTTCAAATGTGAGAAATACCTAGCTACTACAGGGTGTCCCAAATTCAATTTCTACAAGTTCAAGGACTATTGAATATAAACTGGATTAAAAGTTGTGTTTTCGAATGCGAATTGAAAGTCAAAAAATTCCCCTAATGAAAATCGTATGCAATTCTTCATAATGTTGTGTGAGATATTCGCACTTTGACATCACCAATGGATGACGTTCCAATTGTCCTTTGGGAGTACCCCTCACTGACATGAGGAATTATAACCGATCTCAATAAGGGGTCCAGGAGGTGAGATTTGATTAGTAGAAATTAATTCCTTTCGTTGAGACTTTTCATTATAGTGCCATGAAGGAAAACCTCCTTCTCCCCCAAGTTCGATAAGTAGCGAGGAAAGAGGGCGGTAGTTGATAGAAAACAGTTAATTTTTTTTAATATTCAAAAAAATGCGCCAAAAAATTAGCTAATTTATTTTTTATTTTTTGGGACTATGTAAAGAAAATGTAAAAACAAATCACATATTGTCACTGCAACTTTTTCTACACTAAAAGTAATATGATTATATTTTAATCCGGGCACTTAGGTTTTTTGTTGCAGTATTAAATTTTAGGTGAGCAAGAAATGTAAAATGGCCGTTTAGTACTCTCGGGATGTGTTAAGCTGTTTATATTTAAAAAATGGCATTGTATTATGAATGCAATGTATATTTCATCTTTTCCTATGAGCCACAACATTACAATAACCCTTCATAATGCAAAAAGTCATTAAAGAAATAGAGATCTAATAAAAATATATGTCCCCATATTGCGGTGGGCACTCCCTGATATTGAATTCAATCAGTTACTACATTTTTGTGTTGCCAATATTAATGAAAATAAACGTGGATCAAAATATAGTGAGGATCCCTGTACATCTCACTGTACAGTTAACTTTCTAATTAGGAAAGTTTTTATGGGAAAAATGAACTAAATAAGATTATTTTAAAGAAATGGTACAGATCCAAGTTTCAAGACAATTGAGCACAATGACAATTTGACACAGTGTTACCACAAGTTTTGGTAGGAAAACAAAACCTGCTATAGAGGAAAAAAACTTGTAGTCTTATTTGCCCATAGAACCGGTAATCACTGTATGGGTAGAAAATAGGAAGAATTTTTTTATGACTGAATAAAATACTTACTAATTGACGTTCTCTTGTTACATTTTATACAAGATAAATCCAATATTTTCTTCTTCATAATATCTTGTTATTTGGATTGGACCATGACATTACACTATATGTGTGGTCAGAAAGTGCCCACAATAACAAAGATACTGGTACTGGCACATAAGAAGGCAACAGATGATGCATTCTCAGTATTCATGTTCTATTAATTACACATCCACCACTCCTGCAGATACTAAATTTGTCATCTGTGCATCACCCCCTCTCGCCTTCTTATGTGCCAGTACCAGTAACATATATGTTCGATGTTAGTCTAATTCTACTTAACTTGCAACTGACACTTTTGAAATTGCAATGTGCATGTCAATAGATTTGAATCACAAATCCAATAATTATAACAATTAATGAAATACCATACATCCAGCAATTCCACAAAACTTACCTGGGGGAGTAATGAAGAGCTCTTCTACCGCACTCAATTGCTCTTGGTGCATCCCCAAGTATTCTCCAGTACAGCACCCCTAAATTATAATGAAACCAAGATGAACTGTTCTTGGACAAACTTAAACCAATATAATGTCCAAATGTATCAATCGATGAAACAGGTAATAAATACTCCAAATCAGTCTCGGGTACAATGCTAATAGCATTTCTATTAACCATTGCATGCAAATGCTCAAATGCAAACATGCTATAATCGAGCTCGGCATAATTTGTACAGTCAGGTGCAGAATAATCGGTAGATTCGTTTTCGTACAGAATACCCAAAGTCACATCTGTTCTGCTACTACCGTTAGAGCCGATGCTGGAGTACAAGTCGATCTCGCTCAATAGTTTACCTGCCCTAGAGCAGTCCGGGTCTTGGGAGTAGACACGGGTCTCCAAATCCGAAGCACCCTCTAGACCCGACCATTTTTGGTCTATTACATTTTTTCTGTCAACTAAATCTTTATATAGAGTCGTTATATCAATTCTACGGGTTTCTTGGTCCAATAAAGCGATGAGATCGTAGGGACGTCGAAGATGGAATGGAGAATCCAACTAGAAATAGCATAGATAAATCGCAAATGTTGAATGTTTGAAAGAACTCAGCTGATTGTTATTTAACCAAACTTTTATTCACAAAGTGTATACTTGAAAGACTTACATGTGATTGTATACGTCCATTTTCGGTTACAACCCAGTGAGTGGAAGCGTAGGTTTTTAAATAAATTTCAAATAAAATAAAAAATATTTTCCATATTTTCCCCATTTTCCAAATTCTTCTTAAAAATACGCATTGCGCAGGTTTCGATACCATGCGACACCGTCGCTTTTTTTTGCAATCGTCATTTTCACGTCTCGTCTCTGTCTTGCCAACTGGAATTCCATATGATTGTCGATTACGTAATTCAAAATAAACTAACACGCGCTTCTTTGCCTTTTTCTGATTGGATGCGGATTTTTTGAATTCTTCGCGCCACAGTAGCGATACTTTCAAGCGAACTGATCGAAAACATTAATTATAGCTTTAAATACGGCTCGCCACAATCGTTTGGGTGACTAAATGAATTTCGGTCCGGGCCATTTATTTACGAACACGTCATTTACGCCAATCGACCTTTATTTTAGTTGACCTGCGTAACACACGTGTATCAGATGGTTGCAGCGGCGACGCATTCGTTAAACCGTCTTCCCAATATTACGACCGTTCCTCGCAATGGCAAAGTCGCAAGTTGCGCAAAATTTCCATAAGGATTGCGAAAATGCCATCAATAAACAAATTCAAATTGAACTTAATGCCAGTTATGTTTATTTATCAATGGTGAGTAGGTACCATTTAATTTTATTACAATAATAGGGACACGGTGCGCAGATGTGAATAGCGTGTATTTTTGTTCAATATTTATTTTATTTCTATTGCACCTAACCCATTGGATCTGCTTTTTCAACAAGGTTAAACGATTATTTTTTTAGTGTGTTGTTTGCTTATTATTTATTCAGATATAGTCATTGATAGCTAGAATTAAGTTTATTTTTAGTGCGTTTTTTCCATTGCTATTTTTGAATGGCCCTCTTATTATTGCGCAATTTTAAGTAATTTAGATTCAACCGAAATGGGTTGAGCTTTACAATGAATAGGATACTTAATTAAAAATATTTGTGGACATTAGCGCGATTTTCCTACAGGTACCTATAGCTCGATACTCGAACTTATCCATACGTCACATATAAAACGTACAACATATCGATTTGTTTTTTAACAACACAAATATTTGATATATATGAGGAAATCTTATTTAAACTTAAAACGGTATGGCCTTCTCAACACTGACGCTGACGTACATTTATTAATCATTAAGTCATTTACTAATGAATCCATTTGCAGCACGCAAGAATTTATTACAATTTTATAGAAGAGTATGTATGTACACAATTAACAAATTTAGTTAAGAAAACAAAGTTACAGGATAACGTCAATTTAAAAATCCCCTGATGGAAGTAGGGTGACATGAATAACGAGTATTTTTTGGTAATTATTCGTCACTAAAACGACGACACTATGATTCCATGCTCAAAACGCAAAGGGATTATTATAATGTCAAATTTCTTCTCTGGGGCAAAGGAAGTTCTCACCAAAATTGTGTAGCTTATTCCCTGGCGAATATCGCATTGTAATTGTATTCTGTTATTATTACTAAAGATAGGAAATGTTTCTAATATTTAGAAGTGTGCTTACGATTATTTGTGTTTAAAGGAGACAAACCATAATATAGTCATAGGTAACAGAGAGATGTGGTACTTTAATTTCAATATAAATTAGGTATTGCATGTTTTATAGTATCTTTTTTCTACTACTCAGGCTTAATGCACCTAGATGGGAGGTTACTCCGGCACGATCGATGAAAACCCTTACTCACATGTATATATGTAATCCCAAGCGAAGCTTTTTGTCTAATAAGCTCCGTATTACGTGTGAAATTGGGTCTTCGCCTGGTGATTAATCGACGGTCTTCTGGGTAATTAAAATCTTCTATACTTTTTTCTACCACCGAAAATACTTTCTCTTGTGGATTTGGTGTCAAGCGTAGTAGGTCTGCTCGTCCCTTTCTGGAGACAATGTAAACCCTGATTGTCGTTCTTATATAGCGTAATTGTATTTAAGAACTCGCGCGCATTAAGGGTATCATGACGATGCTTGTGCTACTCCAGTAACTTCATTTTAACAGCGAGACTAAAAGAAACGTAATTTTCCACTCGCTTTTAAATGAATTTATGGCTTTACCTATACTTTTACTTAAACTTTTTACTGAAAATGCGAATGGTTAGTGTAAAGTGACTCATGTGTGCATACATTCTTAAAAAAAACAAGATAGGTACAATAATAACGCGACTTTTTCACGAAACCTGTCAAACTTGTTATTTATGCATCGCAGTGGTTCGAAAAGTCGACTATCTTGTACCACAATACCCACCACAAGACTTTGGTTACCAATTCCGTTATTGAAGCATCAAATTGTAGTGAAGAATTAATGTAATAGGACCTAGTGTTGAAAAATTAGGCCTCGAAAATTCATCTCCATAAAAACTCACGATCCTGAATACTCGCTTTCATAAAATTCGCCTCTAGAATAGTTTTCATCGGGAACTCTACCTGTGGTATATACTGTGTCCAAGATAACGATGTCTATTATGGGGATCTTGGAAACTATAGAAGATACGACGATAGTCAAATTAGAGAGAAGATGCGCAATTATTATGAAGACACCTGAAAATTTCGATTGGTTTCGAAGATATGCCAGAAAAACTGAATTTTGCAGATTCTGTTTTTATTTTTTTCTGATGTTATGCGTATATTTAAAAAAACGCTGTTGCTATTGGCACTGAACTTTCATCTTTTCATTATATATATTTGCACGCTCCTGATAACGCGGTTCTCCTATCCCTTTTGCAGTTTCTGCAATCCTCAAAGAGTTGGAGGAGCCCAAAATACGTGCCTACGTTAATAATTCAAATTTATGGTTTCATATTGTAGCGAATATTTTAGAAATCCTGATAGACATCGAGGCGCCATGAAATATTAGTCATCGGTGATGGCGGATGTGACGCATTATGTCTGAGAAATATGACGTGCTTGTTCTAGAACATGCGTGAAGCGTTCGGTAGCACTCGAATATTCTGGATAGATTGTTGTTTGGTATAGGTAATAAGTATAAATACCAGAGTTGTAGGAAATTTCATGTTCTATCAAATTTGTGAACGCTACTTTAAGAGCATGTGTTACGTCGCGGAAACATTAAAAACCGGCGTTGAAATCGTCAAATGCCCGTCGCTGTAGACAGGGTATTTTTCAAAATACGTAGCTCAAATTTGGAATAGAGTACCTTCAAATCTTGAGGTACAATATGTCTGAATTAGAATATTAAAAATCGCGAGCGTTTTTGCAAAAACTACCCTTGAAGTATGACGTTAATGCGAAATATAGTCAATGTTTGACATATTTTTTAGAGGGTTAGAATAATAAAAGTGGAAAAACAATTCAGTCATAATGGAGTTTAAACTGTTATTTACCTTTAAAAAAAAATTACGAGTCATTACAGTTGATAATAAAATAGTTCTGGGATCGGGTAAAAAGTATGTTTTCGTCATAGTTTTTCCGTGATCCAGAATTTATTAGTTTCTCCCACCTTACATTCGTAAAAGATTGGGTCATTCGGTTATACCCGCGATCGTACGGTTATTATGGGCGTTTATAATATTAAAAGCGACAATCCAAAAAGGTAGGAAATATCACGAAGAATTAGAAGTGAAACTGTACTGTAATTATTCTTCTTCTTTATTATAATATTATTACATTTTTGCGTTACAAGGTACGTACGGGGCGGTGACTTTCCGAACGCACCATAGGAATTTCAATAGTAATTTTTTCATTTCCGAATTGGCTTCCCTAATTATTTTAGAAGTAGTCTATTTAGGTTTTTTGTAGAGAAAAAAATTACGAATCCGTACATACTATTGTTTCCTATTTATAATCCGGTAATGCTATAATGGAATTATGAAATCAAACAAAAGCGCCTGCACTTGCCATTAGTTATTGTGTTTACGGAAAAATATAAACAAAGGAATCCCGAAAATTAACAATCTGTTTTTAGTAGCAAAATTCCTCCGATCATTTGAAAATCCGTATTTGGTCACTTCTTTTGATGACAAAACAATAAGACAAACCCGATCACCGTAGGTACCATAGTCACGGATTAATTATTAGCGAGGTCCTAGTGAGTTTATAATTTTTCGGTGTCTGTCCGTCCGTTAGCACGATTTCTCGATAGCGAATGGACCGATTACAATGAAATTTTGTAGGTAGATTCTTTATCAAATTTGTAGACCGGAGTTCGTGAATTGGTAATGTAGGTAAAAAAATAAGGAAGGCCCTTTTGACATCTCTATTAGTTATGAACCAAATTGCATGAAATTTAATATGGACATGGCTCTAACATACAATACGCACTTCCAAAAGTTGAGTCTCTTCGATTCAACATTCAAAGTGCCCTTTTTAGCGCATTTCCACAAAAATAAAAAAAAAATGCGCTATTGTGGCCACTTTGTCCGTCCGCCCGTCCGTCCGTCCGTCCGTCCGTCCGTCCGTCCGTCCGCTAACTTTGCGACGCTACTAGTTTTTTATCTTAAGAGCTATTGTTCTACTTTTTTCGCTATTTGGTTCGTTATGGTGTCGAGTCTTGTACCAAGGAAGGAATTTTTTTCTGTACCGCTTACAAAAAAAGTTATTGTAAAAAAAACAAAAAACCGTTTTTTACATGTTCCATAATTTTACACTTTTGCCGTTTATTAACGATCCTAGAGATCGTTTATAACTTTGCATTGCTATCTGTCTCCTGTCGGTTGGTCTCTCCGTCTGTTCCTTTGTCTGTCTGTCCATCTATCTGTCCGTGTGAACGATAACTTTGTTTAGAAATGTTCGATCGCTTTTACATCTTCGTTAGTTATGAACTGAATTGCATGAAATTCAATATGGGCATAGCTTTAGCCATATAATACGCAATGCCAAAAGTTGGATCGAATCGATTCAAAATTCACAGTGCCCTTTTCGCATCTCGACCATTTATAAACCGAATTGCAAACTTTTTTACTTATAAAAGTATTTGAATGAATTTTGATACATAGGCACTTGGAATAAAGGAAAATCAAACGCCAATTTCAAAATTTGGTTTTGCGCATGCGCAGTGCCAACTTTTTTATTTATGGAAGAATTTAAACGAAAATTGATACATAGGCACTTGGGATAAAGGAAAATCAAACGCCAATTTCAAAATTTGGTTTTGCGCATGCGCAGTGCCAACTTTTTTATTTATGGAAGAATTTAAACGAAATTTGATACACAAGCACTTCGAATAAAGGAAAATCAAACGCCAATTTCAAAATTTGGTTTTGCGCATGCGCAGTGCCAACTTTTTTATTTATGGAAGAATTTAAACGAAATTTGATACAGAGGCACTTGGGATAAAGGAAAATCAAACGCCAATTTCAAAATTTGGTTTTGCGCATGCGCAGTGCCAACTTTTTTATTTATGGAAGAATTTAAACGAAATTTGATACATAGGCACTTGGGATAAAGGAAAATCAAACGCCAGTTTCAAAATTTGGCTTTGCGCATGCGCAGTGCCAACTTTTTTATTTATGGAAGAATTTAAATGAAATGTGATACATAGGCACTTGGGATAAAGGAAAATCTAGCGCTAGTTTCAAAATTTTATTTTGCGAATGCGCAGTGCCAACTTTTTTATCTATGGAACTATTTAAGTGAAATTTGATACTTAGGCGCTTGGAACA